CCCCTCCCCTCTGTCTCGCCCTTTCCCCCATTCCCAGCAGCCGCCGGACGCAGGCGAGGCCGACAGACCTACAGCCGCTATCAGACCCTGGAGCTGGAGAAGGAGTTCCTATTTAATCCCTATCTGACTCGCAAGCGGCGGATCGAGGTATCGCATGCGCTGGGACTGACAGAGAGACAGGTCAAAATCTGGTTCCAGAACCGGAGGATGAAGTGGAAAAAAGAGAACAACAAAGACAAGTTTCCCAGCAGCAAATGCGAGCAGGAGGAGCTCGAGAAACAGAAGCTGGAGCGGGCCCCGGAGGCAGCCGAGGAGGGCGACGCGCAGAAGGGCGATAAGAAGTAGGCTCCAGCTGGGACTGCCAGGGCCGCGGCCCCCCGCACGTCCGCGGGTCCCCAGATCCGCCCGCCCCCGCCCGAGAGAGAGCTCTGGCCCCGCGAGCGGGGCCCCGAGCAGGGCCTCCCACCGCAGCGTCCCCCGCCGCGCCAGTCCCCGCTAGTGGTAGTATCTCGTAATAGCTTCTGTGTGTGAGCTACCGTGGATCTCCTTCCCTTCTCTGGGGGGCCGGGGGAAAGAAAAGGATTCGAAACAAGGACTCCCTCGCCCTGCGAGGGTGAAGGGCCACGGCCTGGCTGAGCCGCCCCCATGCCCCTGCCCCGTGTAAAAAGCCTCCTTGTGCAATGGTCTTTTTTCCTTTGAACGTGCTTCTTTGTAATGACCGAGGTACCGATTTCTGCTAAGTTCTCCCAACAACATGAAACTGCCTATTCACGCCGTAATTCTTTCTGTCTCCCTCTCTCGCTTTCTCTCTCTCTCTCTCTTTCTCTCTTTCTCTCCCCCCTCCCCGCGTCCTCATTTCCCCTCCCAGCCCCTCTCTCCCTGCTGCCCTCCCTAGCTCGCTGGCTTTCTCTCTTGCTTCTCTCTTTTCCTCCCCCACCTTTGGTTTGACAATTTCGTCTTAAGTGTTTCTCAAAAGGTTACTTTAGTTAGCATGCGCGCTGTGGGCAATTGTTAAAAGTGTTCTTAGGTTTACTGTGAAGAGAATGTATCCTGTATCCGTGAATTGCTTTATTGGGGGGGAGGGAGGGCTAATTATATATTTTGTTGTTCCTCTATACTTTGTTCTGTCTGCGCCTGAAAAGGGCGGAAGAGTTACAATAAAGTTTACAAGAGAGAACCCGAGACTGGCCCAGCCCGCGCTCCTCTTTGCTCCTGGGCGCCTCGCAGAGCTGGGGGGAGCGGATCACCGGGCTCCAGCGCCGGCCGAGCATCGGCAGTAGAGAGGAGGGGGCGGGGGCTGGAGGCAGGTGGTGCGAGTCCCTCGGCCCAGGGGCGCAGGGGGTGAGGGAGGCGGCTGCACGTGATTGGAGGAGAGAGGGACGAGGGAGGGGAGCCTGGAGAAGCCCCCTCCCCTCGCGTTCCGAGGCTGGCTTGCCCCCGGGACAC